TAAATGAATCAGTATCAATGGAAAATCTTGTAAGATACAAGGCTGACTTTACTAAGAATAAGAGGCACGGAATGATTTTACTAAGATACCTTCAGAATAAGAGTTGTCAACCTAGGTGCTGATTTTACTAAGATGCAGGGCCAGAACATTGTGTCGTCTTCATGAGCGGAAAAAGACACTTTCGTCTGGTTGAGAAAGGGCAGCAAAGGCATTGGCTGAAATCTTATGGACGAGTATTTGAAGACCTAGAAAAATACAAGTACTTATTAGTCATGATCAGAATACAAGTACTGTGAAATTAATACACGTTATGTTTTTTTTTTCTTTTTTCTTTTATGAGTGTTGACAAAAATGCGTATGTTAAGATGGATGAGTGGTCATACGGAAATGGATCGCATGAGGAATGAAGTTATTCTTAATAAAGTAGGTGTAGCACCAATAGAAGATAAGGTGCTCAAATGCCGCTTGAGGTGATTTGGATATGTCCAACGTAGACCGTTAGAAGTACCAGTCGTACTTGGGAGGACATTCTTATACCTAATACTAGGAGAGGGAGAGGTAAACTAAGAATTACGTTGACCGAAGTCGTTAGGAAAGACATTCTAGATCTAGACTTTCAGAAAAGTTTAATTTCGAACAGAGCCGTATAGAAAAGTGAAATCCATAGAGTCGACCCCAATTAAATTAGGATTAAGGCTTGTTGTTGTTGTTTTTTTTTTTTTTTGGTTCAAACCTTCCTTAGACAATTCTATTTCCAGCTTTTGTGCATTCACGAAGACAGCAAAAAGTTGGAATGGCCCCCGGAACACAGATGTTATATCACCCTAAAAGCAAAGTTAATGGGTTTGTATAATACCAGCAGGCAAATTATTAATTAGTATGCAACTAAAACAACAAATTTCAGAGGAAAAAGAAAAGAGAAAGAAAAAACTAAAACAGCAAAAGAAGGACCAATGCCAATATAACCCCACATGTTTATACATAAGCTTGAAAAAGATTAGGTTTAAAATAGAAGACCTTATAGAACAGAGGCTCTTTCCATTGTTTCTCAGGACCTTTTTGTCTTGAATTCCCATTTTCAAAGCACAGGGCCTCGTCGCCATCTTTTGTATTCCCCTTTGGGTTCCCATTATTCCTTTTCTCTTCATCATTCTGATCCTCTTTTGATTCACTGGAGTTCGTATCCTATACATGCTCCATGTATATTTTCCCCTGTCAATTTATACCAATTACGAGGGCATATTTAAACAAAGAATTGAAAAAATGAATAATAAGTTCCTCAGAGACGGAAGGGTACTCACCTTGCTTTTGATCACGAGTGTGCCTTCTCTTTCCATCTTCTGCGGTTGTATCCCTTCCCAGATGTCCAAGAACGAGCTTTTGATGTTTATAACACCAAATCAATATACAATTGTTAGCAAAAATTACCAATAATTCAATAACATGTAAATTGGACTAATGTTTATTATTACGCTTTTCCAGAAAGTTTCACTTTCCCCAACAATCAAAAAGAACATTCAATTTTCCCAAAGAACCCAATTATCGCTTGTTCAAGAAATTATGTGCTTAAAAAAAGTGCACATATGACAAAACGAGCATTCAGACTGTGGGACCACCTCTTGTGTCTGTATGTAGGGATTTATCTAAATTAGGATCAAAAGCATTTTTCTTGAAAAATTGAGATTATATACATTCATATTTCAAGAATTGTGAAACTATTAAAAGATTCATAAATATCGACCCCACGGGAGGGAAAGAATATAAATTTAAAAGAAAATTCTGAAACAACCAAGATTATATGATCGGACCAAGTAAAACCCCATTCAATGTCAAAATAGAACCCAAATTAAGAAATAAAAAAACTACCATTAAACCCTAATAACTGAAAAGCTAAATCAATCGCTCGTTACTTTTTCCAAGTAAGAATAATATAAAAGACAAGAAGAATAATTTGTAAAATTCACAAATATTGACACACAATCCTCGAAGGAAAGCCCAATTTCAACTATTAATATAGTCAAAATTAAGTGTGATGATTTTTTTTTATCTCTTCTCCATGTGAAACTCTTGCAATTTTAGTTGTTAGTTGTCAAAGTCTAAAAAGCGTAAAATATTAATAAATATTATTGAGACCATAATGATACTAATGAGGACAATGCAGTTCAGTTGTTAGTTGATGCTCCTTCACCTGTATAAAACTTTATATTTTTAAGTGTGTAATAGTAGTCGGTCGGTTCAGTTTAACAGACAACCTCAGCCACTGGAACCGACAACCGACCGCCCATGTGTGGTGGTCGGTCGGTTAACCGACCGTCGACAGTCAGTTTCGCTTCCGATCAGTAATGGCATTTTTATCTTTTGTTAATTACTTTTTAAAATAAGTTAGGCAGATTCATAACCACTTATATAAAAATAAGTAAATTCAAAATAATATCAGCAACTCTAAAATAGACAGATTAACAATATTGTTGAATTAAAGACGTGTCTTAAACATTGAGTTTAAAAATAGTCATTTCGTGTAAATACTTCTCATTTAGTAATGTTTCTAGGGCGGTCAAAAGCACTTTATAAAGAAGTTTGAACTTATAAAAAATGTAGTAAATAACAGATTTATGAAACTAAATTAAATAAAAAGTATATTTTAAAACTATTTGAAGTAAATAGTAATTTACTACGTAAATAATTCATTTACGACTAGTAAAAAATAATTTTTATGATATTTACATAAAAAAATATTTTTATCGGTCGTAAAAAAAATACACGTGTGAAAAAAATCTTTTTGCCCTTCTCTTTTTTTTTTTTTAAGTCTTCCCCCTTTTTTTTTTTGTTTTTTCTTTATTCTTTAAAACTTAATTCACTTCTGTAAAGTCTTCCCCCTTTTTTTTTTTTTTGTTTTTTCTTTATTCTTTAAAACTTAATTCACTTCTGTATTTTGGTCCTTTTGACCTTTTATTTTTTTCTTTTTGCACTAAAATTTTATTTTTATTTTCATTTTGATTAATTTTCTCTATAACTTATTTACTTTTCCATTTCGGTCTTTTTTTTTTCTTTTTTCTTTGTTTCTTGTCTTGAAACTTTTTTTTAAGTTCTTCATTATATATATATATATATATATTTTTTTTTTTACTTTTTACTATAAATTTATTTATTTATACATTCTACTCAAATTTCTTCCTAAACTTTCTCCCAATTCAAAGCTTGGTAACCCCAACATAAAAGATCGTATGTCGAATGGGCTATGCAGTGTTAGAATTTGAATCTATAATAGTTTACTCAAATTTGAATTTACTCTTCCCCTAAAATTGAGTATTTTCTGTTAAAATGAAAATCAAATTTATTTCATAGATGATAAAAAGGAGAAAAAACAGTAAATAACATTTTCATAGTAAATATTCAAAATAAATAGTAAAATTTTAAATATTTGGAATAACTAGGAAAAATAGCAATTTAATAGGGAAAAAAACAGAAAAAAATCCAGAATTTTGGAAGCATTTCACAAATCACGAATATACCAGGAAACAAAACTCCTTAAAAAAAACAAAACAAAACAAAAAGCAAAATAAAAGGAGGGAAATAAATCGTGAGTCCCCCTTTTGGTTCATTAATTTGGATTTTATTGATTTACACTTTTCTTATTCAAACAAAAATATTTTAATTGTGTGGTTTAATTGTGGTTCTATTTAGTGTTTAGATGTATAGTTAAAATTTTAATAAAAATAAAATTCGAATTTGTAGATGATAAGTGTAAAAATCAGATATAATAGGTATTTTTTTACTGTTTAAAAATATTTTAAATGATTAATCTTGAGGGGAGTTAATTTTAAAGGGATAAAATCATTTTGGTACCATGTACTATTGTGAAATATGTTCTTGATACTATGCATTTTTTATAATATTAAATCGGTAGCTGACACTTTCAAGAACATCTTTTTGATACGTTGAAATTGATTTTTGAGATATAAAATGACTAAACTATCCTTCTTATAAATTAAACAAAAATAAATAATTTTTTTTTAAAAAATCTAAAAATATTTTAAAACATTAAAATACTTAAAAGAAAAGAACAAAATAAAAAAGTGCATGATTTTTTTTTTCTAAATCTATGACCTTTTATTAATTAAATTAAAGGATATTAAGATCATTTTACATTTTAAAAATTAGCTTCAGGTATCAAAAAGATGTTTTTAGAAACATTGTGATACTGCTTTAATATTATTAAAAAATTAGGATATTAAGAGCATGTTTTACTATAAAAAGTATTAAAATAATTTTATCCCAACTTTAAATTGAATAATTTAACTAGATTAAAAATACTTACCAAACACAAATTTAAACTCTAGTCATCATTCTAAGGACTCGTTTATTTCACTGATTTAAATTTTATTATAGTAAAAAATTCTTAAAAACAATCACATATAATTTTTTTCACTCCAATAAAATTTTTTTTTACATAAAATTACATTTTAATTTAAATTAAAAATTCACCAGGGAGTTCTGTGGGGCGTGGCCGGTTCAATGATTCCCACTAAAACGCAGCCGTTTGATAGCTTGTGCCGCCGTTTGACCGCGACGAAACCAGGCACGCACAATTTCATCCTCATCGATTGCCATCTTCGACCTCGTTCTCAAAATCCTTTCCTTCTAAACTCGTAAGTCTGAAAATTAGCCAACCCTAATCCCTTTCTCTTCTGCTTTCAGTTCCATAAATTTGTATAATCATCTTCTTGTTTGTTCTCTGTCGTACTCCAATCTTACATTTTGCTCTGAGGATGAGTGGCCTTTCTCGGTAATTTTAGGTTTTAATGGAGTTAGGTTATGTAATTTGGGAACAATGAGAAAGGATAATTATAGCGTTACATTGTCTTTGTCTCTTTGCTTAGTAATGATTTAGCACGAGCTTCCTCTTTCTTTTTTACTTGCTGTCTTCTGGTTTTGATTCAACATCGTGCAGATTGGTTACTTAAATGGTTTTCTTATGCTCATTTATTGTGTAGATTTGCGCATAAAAGGTTGGTGGGGTCCACTGTTATCATTTTGGCTTGGAGTCATTTCATTGAATATGCGTGGTATACAATTACAATGTGTTGATTGAAGGGCAAGGACTCTTATCAATGGCGGACTATGTGGCTTCAACATCGTGCATTAATCTGTATATGCAAATAGCTGGTGTCGTCAAACATAAGGGATTCAAACCTCAGACTTCACATTTCAGAACAGTACAAAGGTCGTTTATTTTATTTTATTTTATTTTTCCTTTCTTTCATTCCATATTTGTACTTTTTATTTTTCTAGTTTTCTGGTGGGGATTTTTTGTTACTTAAATGTTTGGTCAAAAGCTTTGCGGGAAAGTGAAATGACGTGATTGAGATTTGAGCAGTGTCGGACATTATGTTTTGTCACACTCCTATAAGCTGTGGTTGTGATTGTAGGAAGTACTTCTATGGAATCTGCAACTCTATTGGGTCACCAAGGCGGAAAATGTGTGAGCTTACTGCTCCTGGCATCTCAAAGTTGAAAGTAAGTCCTCAGTCTGGGAGGTCGACTTTGAAGTGTATGTGTTTCGGGTCGTTGGTAAACTCTGAAGGCGCTACAGCTTCTAATTGGGTGCCAGTTGTTGATCAAGTGCTTCTGATGGCCAGTATATTTCTAACATACATGGCTGGAGTTATTCCTGTTAAGCAGTCTTATCAAAAGGATATCTCCAGTGAGAACAGGATTCCTGAAAGTTCAACCTCTTCTGGTAGGTAAGGGTATGCGACTTGAAGTTCAAGGTTGATGTTTCGTTGTTTGGAATAAATGGCGATTTCACTGTTACTTAGAGGTTGTGCAATGCTTCTGATTTTTCTGTTCTTGGTTCTTTAATTAATTGCAGTTCGATGACAAATGAGGAACAAGCTAATCCAAAGTATGCCTTAGATGTTGTGAAAGAGAAACTTTTGGATTCCTTGGATGCCTTTGAACGTGGAGCTAATTTGGGAAGTAGGATTCTTGAATATAATGAGAGCCGTTCAAAGCGACCTTTACATTTGAGTGCCGTTGCTGATGGTCCAAGGTTAAGACTGCTTTGGGCTATTCTTCAGCAAATTGAGGAAGAGGCAAGAGTTTTGTTCCTTGTTTTGCAATGTTACTTTGTTGGAAGGTTTTACCCTTCTTTTGAGAATTGATTCATTTACTTTACTTGGTTAAAAGTAGCAGTACCTCCCAATCTGAACCAGTATCATTTATGAATGTTCAGGACTTCTAAAAAATGCTGCGCAATGATTTCTCCTTTACAGTCGTGAAATGAGATGATTGTGTAATTTAACTGATGTAGGAGGTTTATTATAATAGTCAGTTATTTTTATTTGCATTGTCGTTTATCTTAACTTGTTAATTTAGCTTGTCTTTTGTTATTTGTTCGTTGTTGTTTGTTGAAGTGTGTCTCAAAAACTTTGTAGTTATTACGTTATCATTTTCTGAGGGCTATAAATATCCTCTCTAGCTATTGTAATGGGTGGAGTTGAATATTTAGATTATTGAAATCAAAGTTGTGTTTTTTCTCCAATTTTTGGGGTTTTCCCTTTAGCCGGGGATTTGACTTGATCTTTCCCATTCTGCTGTATCAATTTTGCTTTTCAAATGTTGTTTTGCAGGTGAATGGTATTTCAAACTCCGAATATCTTGACATGTATGATAGGTTGACCGTTTTTTCTAGAGTGATTCGAAAATCTTGTCTGCCTGTGTGCATGACTTGGTTGGAAAGAGAGCATCGCCTTGCAAATAGCAACCTTGACAAGGTAAATTGGAAAAGTCAATGTGTCATTCTGTAGTCTTTCAAAGAGCTAGTGCTTTCTCATAAAGTTCTCATTATATCATTCTTCTATCAAGGCACTTGTTTCTTTGTTACGTGCAAAGTTAAATGGTGATGATACCGTTCTGCTGAATATTAAGAACTCAGGCAAGGAAGATCTTTACGCAGATTTATTGTGCTTTCTTTGTTTTGGTTCTATCAGGTAAATTCATAGTAGAATATCTCTGCATCTCTTCTAATTTGCTAACATATCATCGCTGTTATGTCTGTTTGTTAGTTTTATCACGTTTATTCTTGCTAGCTTCATGATTTTTATGCAAAATTGGATCTGAGAGCTTTATAAAGAAAATGTCCCCTCACATGATTTAAGCTAGTTTTTGTTCACCTGTTAATTAATGATCTACTTTACTGTTACACTGGGTTTTAGAATTAAATCTGTCGTTAATCTTTATTGGGTCACTTGACCTTCATTCTTATTGTAGCAGGGCAGATTGCTGTTATAACAAGAGCTTGTATTTTTCAAATGGAGTTTCCATATTGGAAGATTTTTTGATAAATTTAGCAGAGGGGGTTGCAAGCATATATTTAGAGCTTATTTCCGTGGACAGTAATGTCTCAAATGAAATGAATAGCTTATGCTTGGCACTTTGTACTTTGTCCACACGAGAGCTTCAAAGGTTACGGAATGAGGTACATTTTTGTGGAGCTTAGTATTCTGATTATTTATTGTTATGAACAACTTGTTTATTGCATAACTACCAAAAACTTGTTTAGTGCATATCTACCAAAAACTTGTTTATTGCATAACTACCAATGACTTGTTTTTTGCATAACTACCAAAGACTTGTTTATTGCATAATTTTTGTTTTGAGTTTGCATTTTGCTGCTTTCCCGCTTTTTTCCCCTCATGCAATCATTGACTTATTCATTTTGGTACTTCTGAAACTTTTGTTCTTTATTCTTTTAGAATCTTCTTCCAAGCTATGAATCTATGATAGTAGTCTGCTACACTATAATGGTTCAAGTAACTAGACTTTTAACAGTTAACATGGCGGGGATGAGGTTTATAGGTCTGGAAGAAAACATTTATAATTTTTAGTTTTGATGTATACGTGTTATGTTATGTTACTAGTAGGTTCTAGCAAAAATCCCAAATGTAATAAAAAAATCCTTGTTATTAGGTGGCTTTAAACCAGTGGCTGTATCAAAATTTGGAGTCTGTTGCATCAATGTATGAAGATCGCTTTGACTTGTGCACGCTTCAGAGGCAACTCATTGGGGAGCCAGCCAATAGCCGCTCAGAAAAACCTTGGTGGAAGAAACTTACCTGGAGAAAATCTAATAGTGCGTCATCTCCATCATGCTATGTTGTGATAAGTCAGTTTTCAATGCCCGTAAAGCGGACAAACGAATTGCGGGCCCTTACAGGGTGGTATGCTCCTTTCAGTCATTTCATTTCCTTACATTAATCATATATCGTTTGCTTTATCATCGTATATAGTAAGCTCAATAATCCTTACCTATCACTGTTGGTTTTTGTATCACAGGAGGTATTACTTCAGCCTATTCCTAGAGTTATCCGATATTGGCATGCCATTTATTAGAGCCATTATCAACAAAGTCAGCGATATGATCTCATTCTTTTTAGTGAGCTTAATTGGGCGGTCATTGGGACTCATTTATACTGGGATTAGGCAGTCCCTGCGATGGAAGTGAGATAATAAAACTTAAAAGGGAGGTAAAATTCTTTGTTCATTGCAATTTTTCTGCTTAGGAAAGTAGGCATTCGGAAGAATTTGGTACATCTGTCAGATTAAAAAGTCCATCTTTGTTTTGGCCACTGGACGCTACCCTTATCCATAGATAATTGAAGTTGACACCGACATTGAGATAACTGTAATCAAACCCTGTTCCAGATTGGGCAAGTAATCTGGCAAAATATAAGAATAAAGTAAAATTTCACATTCTTTTCTTTGATTGGCAATTTCCATGTTGATGCTTAAGTTCCCTTTCTGGTTTCTGTGTAGAATTTCTGTCCCCTTTCAACGTTTCTTAAATGCGGTAAAACTATTATCTTTTAGCTAACTAATTGTTTCTTTTACTTTGGTGAAAGAATAAGGTGAAAGAATATATACCATTCGGTTGTCGCCTAGTGTGTGTGTATCTTTAGTTTATTTAAGTGGGGGATAAAGCTTTATATAAGGTGAGAGTTGGTGTAGTCAACTCATTGTCAGATTGAGGAAACTTTAAAGCCTGAATTCATTGTAGCTTTCTTGACTAGGCAGCCAAGCAGGGCAATCAGCGGGCAAATATCTTTAAATGCATTTAGACAGTGGTTACTGTTTTTACAAATAGTTTGTGTTAAGCTCGTTTTTTTTTTTTCTCCTGTGAAACATAATTTAATATCTGTTTTGAAATTCAAGAGAAATAAAATAAAATGAACATTAGGGCCAAGCCTTAACTCTTTTCTAGTTGAATACCTGATTTCTGCAGCTCCAGTGGCATGAGGTTGATTTACTAATCAGGTTTGATATGTTTATTACTTCAATCAAATCTGAAACTGATATTAGCTGGTTTTGTCTCACCACATTTATCATAATCTTGATACGTAATTTTGGGTGAATGGTGGTGGGAACACACCAGGGTGAGAAAATGACGGGCACATAATATAGATTATAGATCATATTACTTTTCAGAAGATCACAAGAAAAGCAAAAGGACATTTCAGGAGATAATCCTTGTGCCCACTGCCCTACCATCTTTACATGGTAATCTCTTTTGCTGAGAAACTTCTTATTATATACTAATCAATTGATAGTGTCCACACCTTTGTGCAAAGCAAGGTCTCCCACTTTAAGGCTTCTCCTTTTTAAGTGACTTTTAATTATGAGGAGGCACATTATGAGAGAACTTTGTCCTTAATTAGTGATTATTTTAGGATTAGGGTCATTGTACACCTCATTAAGAGAAGTTTTTGCTATCATCATTGAGAGAGGTTTGATTTGCTTGGTGTGGAAATTTTATAAACCAACGATATAGACCACTAAGGGCTCATTTAGAAGGTGTACTCAAACCATGATTCTTGATTTTTGACGTTTGAAATTTAAACTTTTGTGAGAGAAAAATACTATAGCAAAATTAATAATTTGAATTTGAGTATATCAAATAAACAAGTCCTGTTTTTGCTCAAACTTACATGCGATAAGGAATTTATCATGGGAGTTGGGTGTTAAACAAAAATACTAAAATAGTGCCTCATACTATTTTCTAGTTTACCAAAATGATCTAACGAACTGTCGTACAAGTTTGGCATGCAATAACAAATCTGGGTGTGTGCCACCGGGAGAAAAAAGAAAAAAAAAAAAAAAAAAAAAAAACGACAGCTCTCTTTATATATAATGTTTATTTTCCCCAGATAAAAAAAAAAAAAAAAAAACGTACATGAAAAAGCTGTGCAGTAAAAGCAAAAGTTTATATGTATGAAATTCTATTTTGACTAACAATCTTGCCCAATTTGACAAGATTGATTAGAAAACGAAAAAATACAGAAAAGGGGGACGTAAAAGGCATGATTAGAAGGCTGATGGAGCATCGCTATCCAAACAAAAACAGCAAATTAGGAAGCCTTTAATTTTGGTCCAAACATTAGTTTTCTTTTGATGCATGCATGATGCAATTAAGTTGGAAGAACAGCTAAGTAATAGTCTTACAAGTTATAATTGTTCAATTATCAAAAGAAATATTGCGAGAGATTAATTATTGTATGTCTATATGTGGACCACACAGCTGTTTTGCCACTTTTATATCTTTGCTTATTATTAATGCATGGTCGCCTGGTGAAAGGAACCTGACATGAGAGATGAGACCCGTCAGGCAATTGGAACTACAGTAATTTGATGTCGAAAATGAATCTTGCTGGGAAATAAAAGAGTAAAAAATTTGAATATAAATTGGGTCTTTCTCTGGTAGGGCCTCTTTACTGAAAAAGTTAATTTCAAATCGTAAAATTTGATTAAAATCATATTAAATTAATAAGGAGACATTTAGTTTATGAATTAAAATTATTTTCGATTTACGTGTATTTTTTGTGAGAAAAAACACTATAGCGAATTATGAATTATGATTTAAATCATTGTATGAATCCTCTTACCAAACGTCTCCTAAGCTCTACAGAATAGACAGTATTTGAGACAAATTTAAAAACTAAAGCTAAAAGTCTTTTTTATAATTCATTTTCTCAATGTCTACTAAAGAAATCCCAAGCATTTTGTTTTGCGAATTTTTTCTTGGATGAACGTATTGTACGTGAAATCATTTGCCCTAATTTTTTTTATTTTTATTTTTTATGTATGTTGTTTGTGGGACAGATACATACCATATTATTCATTTATTCCCACTATTTTAAATATAGATTATAGTGCATCGGAGACCATAATTAACTATAACGTATGAACTTGTTTTAGTTCAATCTATTCCTTGTCTCTTTGCCTTATAAATTAATCAGGATTCGTTAATAAGAAATATTAGAACGCACTCATACAAAGATACTGTATAAAAACATGCATACATACGTGTGCAGTGTGTGTATATGTATATACACGTATATATATATATATATAATACTATATGTTTGTCAGATGTGCATAGGCTGGGATAAGATGATAAAAGACATTAGGACGATTGACATTCAAATAAAGCGTCAAATAAGCGATAAAATATACATAATTGTTACGTGCTTTATCCAGTGATACCACTTTATTAGCGGCCAACTTTTCTACTTTATGTATTTGCCTTGAGAGTAGTGTATCCTTAAATTTGTTCTGAGGTAAATTATATCCTTAATTATGCAGAAAGGGTAAAGGAAGTTTCAGATGTAAGTTAATGGCTATCTATCTTTCCTCTGATTTGTCTTCTTTTTTCTTTTTCTTTTTTTGGTTTTTAGAATTTTTTATTAGACAAAAATGGAAAAGCTGGTTAGTGTATGAATTACTGATTACATGAAGATAAGCAAATTAATTAGCGTAATATATAATATATTGGAAAAGGAATCTTAATCAGCAACGATGCACTATACATATCTAAACTGACATCTTTTTCCTTTATATTTGACCAACCGGAGCCATATAAAAAGAACAGGGATTTGACTATATATATAATAGTTGTCTGACTGATTGGAAGAACATTATTAATTCAAGGGAGATCAGCACGGAGCTCAATTATTAATCAAATTAATTCAAAGGTGGCAAATCTAGCTATAAGCTATTCAGTAAAGAAAACAAATGGCATCACTTTTAAGTCTTTTTTTTTTTTCCCTCCACGTACTTTTAGGAGAATTCTATAGTAGGATAAAATAAAAATACCTTACCTTTTAGGAGAATTCTATTGTAAGATATATAAAAAAAAAAAAAAATACCTTATTGATAATTTACAATTCTAAACCGTAGTGGTTCATACTTCATATAGAAAAATTTGTGAATTTAATTAAACATATGAAGATTTTACTAATCAAAATTGCCTTATACGATATACTATTTTTTTATATACTTAGAAAATTCTCTGGTATGCCTGATGTACAGATTAGGTTTTTCTGACTGTTAAATTTATATATTTTTTTAATTTTTACGTGATTTTATACAAATTTAATAGATAAAAAAACTTAACTTATGACATAAAAGAAAATGTCCCTTACAAAATTTTCAATCTCAGAAGAAAAAAGAAAGAAAATGATGAAGAAAAAAAGGGCATCCAGATAACCCCTCTAGCCTGTAGCCTCTAGCCTCTAGGCCTCTATATTATCTAGATTATTCTGTTTCCTTAAGGAGCTGTATAATTGGGTAGCACAAGTTCTATTTGTTGCCTTGTGACTTAAAAGTGGAATTGGCCAGACGCTGTTTGCTCATTGACTATTGACAATCTTGAGAAAGCATCAATATTTTGAACTAGTCCACAATATTGCATTACACAAGTCCCTTCACTCATAAATGAATCAAACAAAACTAATCTTCTCAAATGTACACAAATTGCCCATAACTTGCCTTGCGCTTGATATTATATATTCCCTTGAATAAATGCACCGAGTGAGGAAATATTACAGTCTGTAGATCTTTTTGGTTATATATGTGTATATATATATATATATGACACTAGAATTTATGGATATTTTTATAAACCTTCTTGTATTAGGGTCAACTATTCATATTGTTTCATGAAAGTTGTTCATCTTCAGCAAAAAGTATATTAATTTGCCTGACTGTGAGTGGCTAACTGGGTCACAAACGACACAAACTTGGACACAAAAACGAACCTACTGATATCAAAGTTGAGAGACACCCAACATAGTTGGTAGGGTTATATGGTCTGACACGTGAGAATGGAGCTATCTATTGTTGATCTGATTTATAGATATGGCCCTACATACAACTGATTTTTCATAGAGTTGAGTACAGCTAAACCAAAAAAAAAACAAGAGCTAGCTATATGATTATATGAAACTATACATTCCCATCAAAACTATATGTAAGTCATGACTTCCTTTTGCTGAATATCTAAAAGGGAAAGTTGTGGTAGAGTGGGGCAAACCTAGCCAAGGAATTTGACAAGATAGTACTAGTTATGAACTGAGTGTTTTTTATTTTTTATTTATTTTTTATTTATTTTAAAGAGTAAAGAACGGGGTTTTGTTGTAAAAACAAAAAATAACAGAACAAGTATTTATTCTCTTCACCTCCCCAACTACTGTATATTCCAACCTAGTTATAACGTCTTTTTTTTTGGTTCTGCTTTCACTAGTTTTTTCTTTTCACTGCGTTCTCAAAAACCAAATAGCAAATTAGTTTCAATTCTGAACTATCAGTTGATATCAGCAATCAGATTAAAAATTAAAAATGTGTGACAATTTAGTGAAATAATTTGATGAAAATCTGACGCCTTCTTATAATTATCCTAATGATAAGAGTGTTTTTTTTTTTTTTTTCATATGTACCCTGTCATAAAACTCTCTTACAATGCAAAACAAAAGTATGAACTGAACAAAATTGAAAGCTCAATAGATACAAA